CTTTCCTTGACTCTTTTTTTATTCTCATCTTTTAGATTTCAACTTAAATATCCTTCCCAGTTCAAGATTGTTGGAAGATACATCCTCCTTAGCCCTCCACAGTTCTGTTCTCCACCCTGTAACTGGATGAGTTGTACTGGGGTGAAAAATAGGATCTCTGTTGGTTTTTGATCAAGTTTTATTAGTATTAACTACTTCAGGGGACTTTTATCTGTTTATTACTAAGAAAGGGATTTGTGGTTAGTGGGCGTGGATTTGAGTGTTTTAACATTTCCAGATTCCTAATAGCTATTTGTTTATTCCTATGTTTCACATCAGATTTAGTTAATAGATTAAAACTTTGAAATTATTCTTTTTTGTACATCAGAAGTCATTTGGTATCTGTGATAAATGGTTGGGCCTAATAATGTTAGCATGCTTTGCTGTTTTAGAAGGCATTTTTTCCATCATTGATCTTATTCATTAAGAGTTTGGGATATTACACTTTAACTTGGCAGGTGGCTTTTGTGAAGTGCCATAAAATATGCTATTGAGATTTTGATTGGAGTTGTGTTGAAATTTGTGTTAATTTGGGTTGAGGATTTTCATCCAGAAACATGACATGCCTCTATTTTTTAATACCCTTCATCTTTCTTAAATAAAATTTTACAGTTTTCATATAGGTTTTGCACATTTCTTGTGACGTTTACTCCAGATTATTTAATAATTCTTATTGCTATTGTAACTGAATTCTTATATTAAGCCAGTTTTGTTGAGTTTCTGACTGAACTGTTATTAATTCCAATGAATAACTTATTTTTATCTCTCTTTTTTTTTTTTTTAGTATTTATATCTCTTGTTTGAACCCCCAAATGTGGACAAAAGACAAGCCTTGTCTTTCCCTTATTTTAAGGGGAGTGTCATTATTAAATATAATGCAAATGTCCCTTACTAATTTTGTAGGTCTCTCTTGGCTTACTAAATCTCAAAGATATATATTGAATGCATTTTTGGCACTTACTGAGATAATTATTTCTCCTCTCTCCCCCTATCTATTCATATCATAAATTGCAGTCATAAAAATTTTTAATATAAGTTGTGTTTGCAATACTTAGTATGATGTAGTTAATATTTCTTTAACACACTTTTGTATTTAATTTTGTTAATGTTTTAATTTACATTTTCTATGAAGAGTACCCATTTCGTAATAGATTTTCAAATTTGTTGGGAGAAACTATAATTTTTCTTTACATGAGTCTTGTAAAGGTTTGTGCTTTGCAGATCTAATTTATATGTGTCCTTTTTCCTTTTAGCTATTATATGTTGTATTTTTACCATTTTAGCAAATAAAGCAAATGCTTTGTTTGATCTCTTTGTAGTTGAGTAATTGTTTTGAGTGTCAAGTAGTTTATGGTGTATCTTTTTTCAATAATTAAAATATATTAATCATGTTAATAACAACAAAAATATTAACCATTGAAGCATTTACCATCTTAACCATTGAAGCATACAGTTCAGTAGTATTTAGTATAATCACATTGTTATACAAGTCTCTAGAACTTTTTCATCTTGTAAAACTGAAAGTCTGCCCATTAAACAACATTAAACAAGTCTCCACTCCCATTTCCCCCAGACTTGTGACATCCACCATTCTACTTTATATTCCTGTGAATTTGACTACTTTAGATACTTACCATAAGTGGAATTACACAGTATTTGTTTTTTGTGACTTCTTTATTTTGAGTAGCATAATGTCCTTAAGGTTTACCCATGTTATTGCATGTAACAGAATATCCTTTTTAAGAGTGAGTAATCTTAGCTGTATATATCACATTTTGTTTATTTCTCCATTACTGGACATTTGGGTTGCTTACAATAATTTAGGTTGCTCTTAAGCTATTGTAGCTCTTATTTTTTGCACTTACTTCAACTTATATTGTCTTATGGAGGGAAATTAGAATTTTAATCTTATATTTCCAAATAGTATCCAATCTGTTATTTCCCATTATTTATAGTGCTACCATTATTGTATATATCTATACACTAGAACAACAGGCTGGATTATGTCTACTCATTGTGTCTTTTTATGTTCTGCCTGTGTATAACCTGAACGGTCCACATACTCAAAATTAGTTGTTTATGTTGAATGCTTTCCTGAACTACTTGATAAATAGTTAATTGTCTATGTAGGGTTTTAATGTTAACAAAGTAGTTTTTCATTTAATATAGTCAGTACACTTTTGAAATATTTTTTCCCTCCTACCTCTAAGCATCTGAGCAGGCTTGAAATTTCCCTTTTTTCCTTCCCTCCCTTACATACAAATTTCTGGTAAAGAAGCAAAAGCATTTTTATGAAGACAAAAGCAGCACCAGTCTCTATAATATTTGTATTAACTTATGTTATCATTAGCCTTGGCTAATTGTCTTTGGAATTGAATAGCTCCATACACTGTAGGACAGTACCTACACCTACTATGAATGCGTTTGAGTTCTCTTGTATTTGCACTCCAGTGTTCTTTAAGTTGGTTCACTATATTTAAAATATATTTCATATGAACTATGAATAATTTAAAACTTACACAGCTGCTATTCAAGAAATGCCAAAATAGAAGACCTATAAGACCTGAGGTAGATAAGTTTAAATTCTATTGAGGGTGGGGGAAGAGGGACACATCTTTTAAATCAAATCTGTTGAGTATTTCCTTGTTAGGTATCATGACTTAACTGGTTTTCCCTTGTCTCAGATGTCATGACTTAACCTGATGTTATTGTATGTTCGTAGCCAGTGTTTCAATTGTATCCAGTGTTCTGCCCTTACAAGTGATGCTGTTGTAGACTCTGGTACATACACCTTGGTATATGTGTGTCTTTATTTTGGTAGGCTTGTCCCAGTGGTAAAAGTGCTAAACAAGAGGTATGTGGGTCTTTCCATAATTTCTATTTTATTTGAGTATATAAATAACATATTGCCACATCTTTTTAAACTACAGTAGTTTTGTAGTGGTTTAGTATCTTTTAGGATCTGCTAGGTCAGTTGTCCCTTTCAAATCCTATTCTTATCTGTTCTCTGGCTGTCTCTCTCTGTTGGCTATTTTATCTGTAAGTGCCAGAAAAAATAAATCACTTCTCCCCTAAACATATTCGTAACAATTAGCTCATTGGTTAATTATTGCCTTTATAAATAACTGCTATTTTAACGGTTGCTTAATGTATACCAATGACTGTTGTAATTGATTTATGTATAGTAGCTTATTTAATCCTCACAGCTCTAAGATGTAGATATATTATTAATCATTTTATAGTTGGAAAAAATAACTTGTTCAAGGTCACAGTAAATGACAGAAATGGAAGTTAAATAAGGGCATTCACACATCCAAATCTGCTTTCTTAAAACCTATAGTCCACTGCCTCCTTACTACTCTTTTATGTTTTCCCTAATAATTGCTTATGGAGAAATAAATATAGTTTGTTTAAGTTGAGGAGCTCACTAGCTCATTTCATCTTGCCACTAGTCTTTTTTTATATATCTCTGTAACATCTTATTCTAATTTATGTCCTACTTTAGGTCACTGTTCGTAAATAGTATAATAGTCTTGGAATTTTAGAGTTGATGAGAACACCAGTTTATAAGAATACCACCTGACCCTCACCCCTCGAACAAAGAACTGTTGGAGGGTAGTTTTTACATCTTGTTTACATCTTAAAGTGTATATTCTGGATTCTTTAACCCCATCTGGGAAAAAATTCATATGATTGATCTTGATGTGAATTTCATGTATTGTGGGTGAGTGGTATACTCATGCTATTTTTGACCTTTTCTGGATCATCAAATCAAAATGTATACCTCGTAGGTGACTTCTTCCGTAGTGAGTTTTCAAAATGTGAAATAAGAATGCTGTTTTAAACCCTGCTACAGCTCTCAATTCATGCTGTTGGGTGAGTATAACATGAAAGCTGAATCTTCCTCACATAAAGGAAGACATACCAGTATCTTGTTTAGGTGGGGGTCAGATGAGACAATGTGTAAAAACATTTGTAAGCTATAAGGATCTATGTAAATATTAACTGTTAAAACTGAAGTAAGAGAAAGAATGTGAAAATGGGGTTACTGACTAGTAAAATGTTTGGCTTTTGATAATTTTTATTTTTTTAGTGATGTAACATTGGTTTATAAAGTTTGTCTTTTAGAAATATAGGATGTCCCCCTTCAGGTGTTGTTACTACACCATACCCACCAACAAAACACCCATAGTCCACCACCATAGTCCATTGCTCTGTTTGGGTTTTTTCCTGAAATACAATTTAAAATCTGTAACTTAGAAAATCTCACTCTTTCAATTTCCTTCCGATGTCCATTTTTTAAAAATTGTATTGAATTCATAGATTGGCCGTGAAACTCTTGAGCTGTAATTGTGCGTGTCAGTTAATTTATTTTGGGTAGAACCAGTGTTACCATAGGGGATGAGGTACTGTAGTGAAGATTCCATAAATGATAGTTGTATGGGTGTTAGCTGCTGCTCCGTTAGGATTATATTCTGGATTCTTTAGATCTTTAGTATTTAAATAGAATCAATTTTCCAAAATTTAAACCTTTATAGTAAATTTATTTATTTATTGCCATGGTATTAATAAAAAAAAGTATTGGGAATAGATAACCTTTTTCTTCTCTTTTATCTGCTTTTCTGATCATGATAAAGTATAGGTTTAGAAGATTATTCTGTGGTTCTAGATAAAATGACAAAGAATCAAAGATTTCATTATGCTGTTTTCTATATCAGAACTTTTGAAACACATCGCTAACTTACTTTATTCTTCTTCTACTTGTACCTTTTTTCTTTTCTTACCTATCTCCATAACTACCTCTTATCCAGTGATTCTCTCAGTCATTTAACCCAGGTTTCTGGGTCCAACCCAGACTCCAGTACCTGAACTCTCTTAGCCAAACCTAAGCACCGGAATATGTTTTAAATGTGGTTGTTCCTTAATATGTGTGAGACCTTTTTGTATGTGAAAGTTCTTACCTATTTTAACTTTATCCTTAGCTCCTCTTGACTTCAATGCCAAGATATAAAAAAATATAGCTTTCATGTTGTGTCTTGTTATCTTCTGTGCAAGAGAAGTTTCATTAGTTTTCCATGATGTCCAGAAGAACAGCTTTGTTTGGCAAGAGGACCCATTCACTGACTTAGGCAGCATTTAGTATTAAGATTCAAACATTTCACTCAAATGTTAAGCAGTCCTCTTGATCTCACTAACAGAAATGTTCCTGAAAGTTGTAATAAAAGGGTAATCTGAAAGAAGGCTTAGATTCCAATTTCATTAAACTCAGGCATGTGTATACTTGGCAGTTTCTATGCCTCACATAGAATTATATTCCATTATGTAATAACCCTTTGCATTTCTTTTCTTACCAATATTTCTTTTGGAAAAAAGCATCAAGTTGGGAAACTTACTTTTGAATCCTGCTTTAATACTTTGTGATATTGGAAAAGTTACTACTTACCCTCACTTTCTTAATCTATCTTGATCTGTCTTGGGGTATAGTGATTGTTTTCTAACAGTGTTTCTAGAGAATGGAGATAAGCTATATATCTAGTCCACTTTCTTACATATTGATGCTATTTAATACTTATTTTGGTATTTTTCTGGATTTAATTATTACATATAGTTCTTGAATGTTGTTGCTGCTCTTTTGCAGCCAGGATCACTCTTTTTTTTTTTTTAACTTTTTCATGGATTTTAGTTAGAGTCTGATGAAAACTGGACCTGTTCTTTCCCAGAATGTATTTAAATACATACACATAGCATTTACACTTTGTTCAGAATTATTGAGGCCTGGGTCTATGAACCATGGATTTGGTAAAGAGAACTGGATTTCATCTTTTATTCATTGAAGAGTTTAGTGACCTGTGCTTGTTACTACCTCTAAAATTAAAAATTAAGTAATTATTTCTCTACTCCTACCCAGTGATCATTCCAATTGCTACAGAATTATTTTCCCCAAAGGTTGCTACCATGTCAGAGAGCTTTCTTTGGATAATAACAGATGAGAGAATTTTAAATCACTGCCAGTCTTCCATACATTCTTTTTCTTTTTGAAACCATTGGAATCTCTACACAGAAATCAAACTAGTGAATAGATACTTGATACTTGTATCTGCTTTTTCCCCCTGGAGGTATGAAGGATATAGTGAATAGATACTTGATACTTGTATCTGCTTTTTCCCCCTGGAGGTATGAAGGATATTTTGTGATATGATATGCTTAATGTAAGTCTCTTTTTCTCATGTGTTTAATAGCCATCTATAAAGCTTTAATTTGATTTCTTCAGGCTTATTTTACAGTTATTGTTCTAACTTTTCTTTTAAATATAGTGAATTGAGCACATTCCTAAACTTCCTTTCTTCCCAATGTCCCACTTACATTTTTTAAAAGTTACTAGTTCTGAAGAACAGGAACAGATGTTATTAGTCAAACTACCTTAAGCAAAAAGATGTCATTAACTCTGTAACTCTGATGTGTGTTTGCATGTGTGTGGGGAATGAGGGGAGAAGATCCAATGTAAGCATGGATAGATCCAGATGTGAGTGATCTCATCAGTACTGTTTCTCAACATTTTGTCTCTCCACCACCAAAGGGGTATGGATATTTTAGCCAGAACTGGGTCATATGGCAACCTCTGTGGAGTATGGAAAGAATCACCTTCACCTAAATTCCACGGAATATGTTCCCCACAGACAAGAGGGATTATATTACTAGAAAAAGGGGGTGGGTAGAAAGCATGTTAAGCAGTAAAATTACAGTTCACAGTCCACAACAGGTACCATCAGAGGACCAGAAATTTTGAAGAAGATAGAAAGTTCACGGAATTGGATTGACAGCAAAATGTCAAAAGAAACTGGAACCCAAGATAAAAGAGGTAAGCTCAGGTTTTCTTAGGGGAATCTCGGAATGGCTCCAAGTTTGGAGTCAACAGATACACAGAATAGTAGTGGGCAGATAGGTAATAATCAAGAATTTTTAAAGAATTATTTTCCAGAGTGGTGCTGGGTTAGTTGGGCCTCCTTCCTGCTCTTTTTGTTTAATTACCTCTGGTGGCAGTGATGCCTGCCTTCAGGCCTGAAGTCCAAGAACTATTCTCGAAGTAGACTAGCAGTTCGGTAGGACGTCTGCTGAGATTTGGAACCTGAAAGAGAAGCAGTGACACTATCGCATGCTACTTCAGAGAAAAGCAGTTCCAGCAAGCTTGACTTCATGTACAGGTACCTTTCTGGAATGCCTGCTTATCCATATGCCCTACCTGCTTAAATAGTAATTACTCTTCCATTTAAGGGAGAATCAACTTGAGAAAATGAACTTGAGCAACCACAAGGAAAGTTCATCTGGCATTCTATAATCTGTCATTCGCCAATATAAACAGGAATAATCAAACAATTAAGGAGAATCAAGAGCATGGAACAGTATTAAAATGAATAAAAGACCAATTCATCTCAGATAAAATTTAGAAGAAAACTTCAAAGAAAAAATGTAATTGATATTTCATTTAAGATTTATGGATCCATTGCAATGTTTAGTAATAATTTCACTGAAAAGGGGACAGAATCAGAAATGATTTTGATTCTTAAAACATTTAACTAAAGAGGAAGATCTCCATTTATGAAGCAAAACAAAAGAAAATAGTTGTGGAAAAATTGGGGGGAAAATAGGGATGGAAAATAGATCACAAAGTTTTCACATCTACAAACGATGAGTTCTAGAAGCAGAGAATGGGAGTGGCGGTAAGGAGAACATAAAGAAATAATTGAAGAAATTTTTGTGAGCTGGAGAAAGATGAATTTCAGAGTGAAAAACCCATCTGTTATCAAGCAGGATGAATGGAAAAAAGATCTTCATCTGGACACATCTGGTAAAATTTCAAAACTCTTAAGATAAATGGAAAATCCCCAGTGAGAGGGAATAAAAATTGGAAAATCAAAAGGCTGCTAAGCAACCCTGTTGACTACTTGAAGACAGTGGAGCAGTATCCTCACTATTTGGGGGAAAATAGATTTGAATCTGTATTTCATATACTAAACCAACACTCTATAGCGTATAAAGACAAATCCTTTTTTTGTACTTGGGAGAACTATATGCCTTATATGAAAATATATTTCAGATTTTATAGTACAGTGAAAAATATAATCCAGTATAGAGGATGTAGTGGTAGGGGATGGGAGGGGAGGAAACAGTGGTAGCTACAGTGGCAATTTTGGGCCTTCAAAAGAGCTGAAGAAAACCAGAAGAAAATTCAGCTGTGTTATTTGTGTAGTATACATGGCCTGTTATATTCAACCAAGAATTCTAAATGATAGGAAATTACTTTTCTTTCAGTGATTAGTATTTACCTAGTCATGTTGTAAGTGTACTTAATTATAGTACCCTATAATTAAAAATCATGTAATATAAAATTAATATAAAAACAATATAACAATAAAATTAGGGAAAGGGGTAACAAAAGGAGGATTAATGCTCATTTCTGTAATGGGCATTTAGTAATATCATATAAACTTGGCCAAACAAGAAACAAGTAAAATAGTATTAAAATTAAGATGGTAACCAGGTTAGAGTATAACAATGTAACAACATACTGCCATTTTGATGCTTGCTGCTAACAGAGCATAAAAGCATCTTGTACTTTAATAGCCTTTTGATATTTTAAATATCATTTATAATAAATTTACATTTACACATTTAAATTTAAATGTGTAAATAATATTAAAAAGATTGCATGTATTATATCTACCTAATTAGATAATTAAACACTAATTAAAAAGTGACATTCCAGGGCCACATGGTTTTCAGAAACTATTTGGGGTAGAATTAGAGGACACATAGGGATAATATTCTAAGAAATTGGAAAGTTGCATAGAATGCAAATGTGACTTTTTATGTAGGATGGTAATTCTTGACTGACTTACACCCTGGAGTTTATAAAACTGATTCCTTTCTATGATTCTTGTTAAATATTGTTAAAATTGTGGTATTTGGTTTGTATCCATAGTTCCTGGCTCAGGGCTCCCACAGGAGCCTTGGAATTTCCTGTGGAGAGTGATAAAGGTGTGTTTTGTTATGTGAATGAGGTGACTATCTCAGCACCTAAATGTGGGAGCTGGTTACCTGGAAAGAACCTAGCTTGTTAATTAGAGGCTTGGAACATCCAGTCTCATCCCCAAAGAGAGAGGGGTTGCAGTATAAACTCAGTTGCCAATGATGGATGAGATAATCAATCATGCCTACGTGATAGACTGCCATAGAAGCTGAAGAAGATGAGTTTCAGAGAACTCCTTGGTTGGTGAATATGTGTAAATTTGGCGCTACCTAGAGAGGCTAGAAGCACCACAATCTCCCCCTTGGCATCTCTGAAGAGGAGGGCCATCTTGAAAGGCTGAGCTATTTACTATCTGATACAAGCTCATGGTAGAGAGTATCAGAATTGTGTAAATATGCACCCATGTTGCACCCATGTTGCACAACCCATGTTCCAGGACCCCTGTTTAGCAGTAAAACAGTGTAATCCAAAATTTGTGGGGAAATGGAAAGTAATAGTAACATGCTTCGAATATAACAGTGTTGTGAGATATCCTTATGATGATCAAAGGAGGTAGCTCATGGTTATATTGAATTAAGTATGTGTGCACATGTGTGTGTTTGTTTGTAAGTATTGTTTTGGAACCCTATGTACATGTCTACCTTAGGAACTTTGGAAGGTCACAGTTATGTTTCCAGATTCTCTTTACATGTATAGCCCTAAAGACCTCTATCTACCATCAGAATCAGGTTAGTAGAAAAGGGAATGGTGCCCCATTTTGCAGTTTTTGACCTAGCCTTTGGTAGCTGGAGACAGTTTAATGTAACTCATTTCTTAGGAGATAAAATTGCTTGCAGGCAAGCTAGTAAAGATTTGTTATGAATGGATTAGTCTGGAAATAGCAGAATAAAACATCATGAGAGACCAGAGTGATTGGAGTTTGCTACCAGCAAACCCAGACCATCAGAGCACTAAAAGGAAAGCCAGTGGCAGCTTTGAGATTCTGTAGTTACTTGGACAGTTTTTACATCTTGATTATTTTGCTATGCCTTCGAAACTATCTTAAGTGAGTTACCTGGAGCTGTCACTTTAGACCTCAGTATAGAACAGTCCTGTCCTTCAGAAAGGTGATTGAAATTGATAACTAAAAAATTGACTCTGGACTTAACTTGTATTTTTAGCCCCATCCTCTCTCCTCTCCCCACTAATGTGGAGAGGACTGACAGGGAGCTGTGGGGATATGTGTGATATATTTCTTTTTTGTTGGTTAATATTTATTGCTTTGGAGCAGCAGACAGTTAATGTGTTGATAACCAAATTTAGAGTGCTATACTATCAGATTTAGTGTACTTACAAACAAAACATCAAAACAAGTAATTCTATTATATCTGTACTTGTTTTTATTTTTATTTAAAAGTGTATAGTATAGACAAATTTGGAAGGTGAATGTCATCTAAGAACATTAAATTTTATCAAATTTGTATCTATAAAACCTATTGAAAAATGCTGAAAAAGAATAAATTCATGGTATGATCCATCATGGGGGTAGACAACAAATGCAATCATCCAATCGTTGTGCCTACAACGATTTCTGGGGATGTGAAAAGAGAAATAAGTTGCTTGCTTTCTTACTTTGCTTAGTATTTTTACTTATATTTGGACAAGACTGTGTATATAAGACACATCTAGATGAAATATTTTATTTAAATGTATTTTATTTCTGCACTGTCCTAAATGAAATTACAGGTTTTGTTAGTTTCATTAAAGAAAATTGGAAAGGGGCTAATATACATCACAGAAGAAGAAAAAATCATTGAAGAACTTGTTAAAATGATCAAGATTAGGGTCAAGTATTTTTATTTCTTTTAAAGATTTATTTATTTATGCATACAAGAACTGGGGTACAGGCCAGAGGTATGGGGGCAGGGGTGAGAAGATTCACCAGAGATAGAGTGGGGAACAGAACAGGCAGATCGACTGAAATACACTGCTGAGGGGAGCAGTCGGCAAGCCAGGAGAGATCTGCCGTGCCATGTGGGTAGCTCCCTGGCCAGGGATCGAACTCATGCTGCAGTGGCTGCAGATAGCTTCATAGGTTGCTTCTTAACCTCTTGAGCCACGGGGGAGGCCCTGCATTTTCATTTTTAATATGAATTAACCTTACCTGAGAACATGTAGAGAGGCATAGACCTCTAAATTCCTTTACATTTTAAATAGGGGATTACTTATTTTGGGATTTTTTTTTTTTTAAGATTTATTTTTATTTATTTATGCATACAAGAACTGGGTGTTGGCCAGAGTTGCAGGGGGTGAGAGGATTCAGCAGACAAGCCAGGAGAGGTCTGCTGCACTTTGTGGGTTGCTCCTTGGCTGGGGATTGAACTCGTGCTGCAGTGGCTACAGATAGCTTCATAAGTTGTGTCATAACCCCTTTCGCCACCAGGGAGGCCCTAGGGTCAATTATTTTTAGATTACAGACTCAAAGGTAGTCTAACATTGTTATCCTATACCTATTGAGTATTATAAAGTCTGTCCATCTGCTAAGCACTCAGTTAAATATTTATATAAATGAATGGTCAAGATGCTAATGATAACCTTTGAAAGAAACAACAGATTACCATGGCTTTTTAAGGATTAACTTTGAGAAAAAAATTTATTTAAGCAATAAAATAAAATTTTAAATAGCACATAATCTTCCTCACATTTGGAATGTGCTACTGTATGGTCTTTGTTATGAGGCTATAATTTTATATACCCATAATCATTTGTTACCTAAGCCTTTTGTAATGTCTACATTTATTTAAAAGTGTGCCCACCTATTAAGATTTATTTTGGTGGTTCTACTCATTCTTATTTTTAATATTAGTGCCTTTGTTAGTGAAAACTGGTTATGCTTGGCTCTTCTTAATTTTAGTGTAGAGTTGACTTTTTAATAACGATAGATTGGTTTAGAATTTTATTCCTTAAAATGAATAATTTGAAATAAATGTTTAAGGTCAGCTAGTAAGTAATCTTACCGTTTTTAGTTCATTGTAATGGTAATAATACCGAAAGAAATTCTGGATTTTTAGAACTCTAAATTCTGGGAGAGAAATTTCACAGTTTACTACTAAGTTACA